CTCAGAATCCATGGGCCTTCGTAGGGGTTGGTTAACCTGTGTTAGGTTGTCATGTCATCCAAACCAAGGCAACCAGTCCTACCATGGGTTGTGGAAAGTGGAGAGCAGAAATAAGCAAAACAAACAAAACTCTTGCCACCATTGACAGATTTGCCCACGTTGCTGCTAGTGACAGGCAAGCAGCACATTGGAGGGGCTGTTACAGGCTGGCCACCTTCTTTCCATTATTATTATTTTAGTGCCAAAAATGCATGCAAGTTTCATTTTTTCGTTCATTCAGCGGGACTTGTGCAACTGCAGAAGTGTGCAGTTTAATGGGTCCAAAATAGGAACTCTGGCTGCAGTGTCCTGCAGCAAATACCAAACACAGACATTAACAGAGAGAGTCTGCAAAAAGGTCTTATTTAGTTACTTTGGATTCCCTTGACTGCTGTCAAAAGGCAACAAAAGAAAAGCCACATCTTGCAAAAGGGGGTGGTGACTTTTTTTGTCACTTTGCAATGAGATCTTCAGGGCTTATATTCTCACTGTTCCCTCTTTTACTTCCCTTCTCCAAGTTTCCTGATACCTACTGTAAGATCATGAAGCCACCCCAGTTCGTTTTTTGACAGGGGAAAATGCAGTCATGAATCAAGGGACAGCTGCCAGGGAGTTTAAGAAAAAAGAAAGCCTTTCTTCCTACAGCTGGCAAAAGGAGATTGTGTAAAGTGGTGAGCACAGCTTCTCAAAACTGAAGCCTATGAAGGCATACTTGCAAACTACCATTGTAGGGATTTGATCAAGATTGCTGTAGATATGCCCCAAGAAGACATGGGAACTGATTCTGAGTCAGGTGAGGAGGGGCAGGTTGAAGTTGCTGTTGAAGTGAGGAAGCTGGAGACCAGGGAGAAGAGCACTTGCACCAAACACGCATGTTGCTTGAGCCATCTAAGCATGCAGTGTACTGACTGCTCAAACAGAAATATAACCGTTGGGCGAGCAGTTTGTGGTTCTCCAGATGTTGCTTGATGGCAACTCCCATCAGCCCTGGCCAGCACAGACAGTGATGAGGGGGCAAGGGATCTGGATGCTCACAAGGGCCCATCCCTTTTGTAATTACAGGTACTAGTATTTTACAAATGTAAAATATTTGGATAGTGAGGCTGTGTCTGTAGAAGTCTATGTATAATTATACATAAACTATACTCATGGATAGTAGTTTATTTTTCTGTACATAAAATATACGCGTATGTGGGTACATAGTATGCTTCTTTGTAATAGATTGACTCAAATATGATGTAGGAAAACAGTAGCACTTTATTATATTCCATTTGTGTTTTATTTTTGCTTTTTGCCTTGTGTTGATTTTTGGGGGAAAAAATCCCCCTTGGTCCCTACCATTATCCATCTACCATATTGGAAAATAAAAAATGACGACATTGCCTGTAATCTCTGGTTGCAGGTCATCACAAAGATATGCTCAACAGCATCCAGTTAATAAACTCTTCTGAAAGCCAGCTTGCCTGTACGTGCAGCTGTGTGTGCACTCGTTGCTCACAGCTGGACATACATCTCTGTCTGATCTGGCTTTCTGTGTGTTCAGCCTGTTGCCTGATAACCCGCAGATTTCCCTTTGCCAGGATAAGGAGCAACATAAGGCAAGGAATACAGCTCCCGTGAGGCCCGCTATGCCTTAGACAAGTAGCATAGCAGAGGGTAAGGCCGGGGGCTAAGTCTCATCCATGCCTTCTCAATCTTAGAAATGTCACACTGTCAAGTGGTCTGCTGCTCATGAAAGAAAATCATAAAAATAAAAGCTGACCTATAGAACCACCAAATGAAAGGCAACCATTAAAAGGGGAAAAAAGCACAGGCCCTTGCTGGGTTTTATTCATTTAGAATGAAGGAGCCGGTATCTTTGGTGAATGGCTCAAAATGTAAGAATGCACACCCTTGTCTTTAAGCTTTTTCTAAAGAACACTTCATGTTTATGAACTTATTTGATGAAAGAGCTGAGTCAAATTCCCACAGATGTCTATGAAAATTTCTGTACTAATTTCATTGATACTTAGGAAACTGTGTTCGCTCCCCTTTATACCAGGATTGGGGAACCTCAGGCCCAAGGGACAAATCCAGCACTTGGGCTGGGGGCCAGTGGTATCCAGTGGGCATAGCCATGCCCATCTGCAGCTATACTGCCCATGGAGGCCTGGTGGGAACTTTGCCCCACCCTTCCCAAAGGCATTGCTTCTATCCGTCCTAATGCTGAGTTACTTGGCTATAAGAACTACAGTATGCCAATCATGTTTGTATTCTTTTCCACTTTTCAATAAGTGAATGCCTTTTTATATTTTATTGCTCTTGTTATATTAATCATTTTATGCTGCTGTTTTAGCAAATTGTATTTTATACTCTAGGCTTTCAAAACCTTACATTGTAAACTGACTTGAGGAGGCTATTTATAAATAAATAAATGCAATAAAAATACCTACCACTGTATTTCCAGGTACAATGGAAAGTGCTGCTTTATACCTCTTAAAGACTTGAAGGATGTGATCCCAGAATCTCTGAATGACTTTCTGTTCATGTATTAACCTGTCTTTGTGTAGACTGAATATAGCAGGGATGAGTCTTACATGTGGTCTTGCTGATGTTGTTAGATCACAGCTCCTATCAGTCCTAGTTAGCATTGCCATTAGTAGGAGATCATAAGGCTGAGTTCAGACAACATGACAAGCCATGGTAGGTTTTTTTCACCATTGTCGATCTGTTTTCCAAACCCAGTCCATGGTATTTTACCATGGCAGATTTGGTCCTTAGAAACCAGGAAAAAAAAGTTTCTTTCAATGGTTTCTCTGTACCACCATGGCTTGCAGTGTTGTCTGAACCCAGCATCATAGCTTTCCATGGTCCAGGTATGCAACTACCAGCCAGTTTTCTGGAAACAGTGGGAACTGTTTTGGGCCAGTGGCAAATATTCCTTTCCTCATCATGGTTCTTGAGTGGGTGGTGGTCAATCACTTCCTGGCACTCTTGGATGAGACTGATTATCTGGATTCATTTCAGTTTGGCATGGAAACAGCTTTGGTTGCCGTGTATGATGACCTATGATGAGAGAGAAACCAAGGGTGTGTGACCTTATTCTGAGGGAGTGAGGGGCACTGCATTGCAGTGGTTCTGCTACTACTTGGGTGGTAGGCGCCAGAAGATGGTACTTGGGGGATATAGCTCTGCCTCTTGAATTCTCTAGTGTGGGGTTCCCTAGGCGTCAGTCTTGTCCCACATGCTGTTTAACACCTACATGAAACTGCTGAGTGCGGTCACCTGGAGTTTTGAAGTGCATTGTCATCAATATGCTGATGATACGCAGTTCAGTTTCTCCTTCTCATCTTCAGCAGGTAGGGCTGTGAATGTGCTGAATGGGTGCCTGGCTGTGACAATGGACTGGATGAGGATTAACTGAAACTCAGTCCAGACAAGACTGAGATGCTACTAGGTGGGTGGTTTTGACCAGGTGGAGGGAATCCAGCCTGTTCTATATTAGGTTGCACCCTCCTTGAAGGAGCAGATTGTAGCTTGGGGGTGCTTCTTGAGCCATCTTTGTCACTTAAGACCAAGATGGCTTTTGTGGCTTTGAGCGCCTTCTATCAGCTTTGGCTGGTGGCTCAGCTATGCCCCTGTCTGGACAGAGATAGCCTGCTATCAGTCATCTGTGCTCTGGTAATCTCTAAACTAGATTACTGCAGATTAACTATGAACTTGTTTTTGCTCTATATTCACTTAGCATCAAATGTAATAACTTTTAGGAGCCAGATGGAGAATATTCTGTTCACCTGGACATGTAATGTTTTTGGCGCTGCTTGAACTACTGCTAGCTCAAATGTCTCTTTCTGACTTACATTAGTTTCATTTAATTTGATACAGTTATTGTTACTGATTTTTAATATGTTTGAGGGGCACCTTATTTTTTTAATTGAAAAATGAAATAGAATTTTTAAGCAAAGAAAATGTTGCAAAGCACCATGCAAACAGAATGAAAGAAGGTTACTTGGTGTACAGCTTATTTTTATTTTTTTTAGTTTAATCTTTAGAGCAGTTTATGATTAGAATCAATATTTTTTCTGAATAACACTGAATGAACTGTGAACGAACAAAACAAATTTCTTCATCCTTTTTTAAAAAACATTTTATTGCATTCTTGTTGGGGTAATGAATCAGTGCTGGCAGACTTTTCTAATCTATAGCTGCAGTCTGGTGCCTTTTATCTGAACTGTTATATTTGTTTTAAAAAAGAATTCCCTCCTCTTAACATGTCCCTTTAGGGCACTTGATGCAAACCTGCAGAGTTTATCCTAGGCAGCCAGCATTTCAGGTTGACCATTTCAGTGGGCCACAGAAAACTCAGGGTTAAACTGAAATCTAGGATTAGCATAGTCCTTCATGTGGCATACTTGTCTTTTTTAAACTGAAAGTAAAAAGAAAATTTTAAAGCTGTCTCCTCACTTTTTACATTGCAAAGAATATTTAATTAGATAAAATTGGTAGCATCAGCAAATTCTGCCATCTCCTGACAACACCCTGTACTTTTTTCTTTTTAAAGGAAATTTTATCTGCATTGGGAAGCTGTGTTCTGCTCCCTCCCCTTCAACAGAATTTAGTTCATCACAAAACATGTCCTTTGAACATTCGTCAATTAGGAGATTTGTGATTAATGTCAGACTAATTCTAAATCGCTAGGGCTATGCTGCACATTAGGCAATCATAAATATTTACCAAGATATTTTGTATTCTGGAAGTTAATGTGCTTCTTTGAATTCTCATTTAGCATAAAAAATGACCCTGTCATGACTGCAACAAAAATGCAACGAAACAAAGTGTTTGAAGTGCACTGTGCAGAGGGGACAACCAAGCTTAGCCAGGAGAGTGTAGTAATTTATGTTTTTGATGCTACAGGTGATGATGAATAACTTTTCTCACTTGACTAATATGTTATCAAAATGTGTTTTTTTTTCATGCTGTAGGTGATGATGTCAAACCCTTTACACCAGAGCAAGCCAAAGAAATTGTGATGTCTCTTCAGAAACCTGCAGTCTTCTGCAACATGGCTTTTGATTGGCCAGCTCTTCACTGGAAAGTTGCATATCTGGCTGAACTATTGGCTGGAAAGAGAATACGTTTTAGAATAGGAAAGAAAGAGATGGACACAGGTAGAAGAAGATTACATGAACTGTAAAATGTTCTTCACTTCTCCCTGCATTGATATTTTTATTTTACTTTTTAATATTTGCCCCTTCTTTTAACCATGACAAGATCTATAAGAAGCCCCATGGTCATACTAAATTCCTTAAAGGCCAAAGCCAAAATATCATTATAAAATAACACTTAAACATCATGCAGACACAGAACAGCAACACATACCAATATCAGTTGTTAGTGAGTTCTGGACCAAAGATTGCATTGTAAAATAAAGTCTAAGTGATAGTCTTGCCCTAAAGCACTCTGGGATAAAAACTGTTATGTCTAATTCCAGTAGCATAGGAGATAGCAGTGTTGTTGACAAGCTTTCCCAAGAGGATTTCCAAAAAATCAATGCTATCAGAGAGTCCTACTCCTTGAACCCCAAAATCTAACTTTGCATGGTAGGGGTATTTGGGGCAGGATCTTATTTAATGACATAAACATATATTGGAATTCTTACAGGACGAGAAATTCTCTAAACCAGCTTTCTCCAAGCTGTTGTCCATATGATGGGTCTATAACTTCCATGATCCACAGCTGTTGTTGCCATGGGGAGTCTGGCACATCTAGAAGTGGAGGTGGCTGTTCTAAAGGATCCTGGAAGTTAAAGCCCTGACGTATAAAAACAGTGTCTTAAGTTGTGTCCATAAAATAACTAGTCACTACTAGAGTTCTTTCAACATGGTCGTAATGTGTTTCCTTCACCCGTGACTATTTTACTAACTGGGCTGCTCCATTTAGCACCATTCTATATTTATGTCGGGTATATTTATACACATAAATAATACTAGATTATGTTTTATGGTACATCCACAAGGTGTCTTCCTTCATGGTACATAATCACTGTGAAAGATTATGGCTTGTAGATCTTCTTTAAGACATACTACACTATAATTATGTATATAAATATATTGTGCATAAAAGAGTGAAAGCAAGTGTCTCTAGAAAAGTAGGATACCTTTTAGGATCCTACCTTTAGGAAAAGTAAGATACAGAAGTCATCTCTAAAAATGCCAATGGGAACTGTGGAAATTCTATGCAGAATAAGTATAGCCAGCCCTCCACATTCATGGGGGCTATGGGAGCAGGACCCCATGAAAGTGGAAAAAGTGCAAATATCAAGTATTGCTGCCCAAACTCACCAGCACCACCTCCTTGCAGCAAGGAAACGCTGGAGGGATTTCCCTCTCTGGAAGGGTGGGACAGGAAGGCATGCTTTGCAGGCCTCCCCCCCATCATTTCCTCTCTCTCTCTATGGTGATTCTTTGGAGGCTCGCTCTCTCTCCCCTTTGGCTCCTCTCTCTGGTGATGGCAATTTTCCACAGTGGCTTTAAACCATAGATTTTGTGGCAGTTCATTCATAAGTATGGGCTGTTTGCATCTTGGACGTTCATAACTTGGGTACTGCCTGTGCACATTTAAAAAAAAACATATTTTCATCAGTGATATAAATTTCAGCATTTTCCCTCTAGGTTCTGATATGGGAACACAGACTGAATCTTCTTTCTCTCACACTCCCCTAAATACTATGCCCACAGTTTTGTGATTGTGTGTTGCAGTACTGATAGCTACAAACCCCAGTGTTTTTAATAGCAGGTGGTAGCTTGTAAGGCTGGCTTTCCATTTGCCTTTCATTCCCACCATTGTTTGGAGACACAGAATGAATGGGTTTCTTCTGCCTCTGTCCATGCTCTGCTAAATCTGTTCCAAATGAATTCCCAATCCTCTGGAGCAAATTTGGGGGTGCAGGGATAAGAATGCTCTTAGGAAGAAGAAACAATTCCACCAAATGTGCCCATTCCACTAGTGAAGACAATGGTTTCCCCTGTACCAGTGCATTGAGTTGTGAATGAGAGTGTGGTGAATAGTGCTATAAATGACCAGCCCTAACATCCAGTGGCATCTTTCTTAAGAACTGGAAATGAGGTTTGATACAGACAGTAAGGAGAACAGTGGAATTTTCCCATGGATTTGATACCAGCTATCTGGTAATAGCTTTCAGTCCTTAAGGATGGACCCAACTCAGGGGTCTAGATCTTGAGATCAAGGCTTTGTGTGTTTTGTCATTTTTTTACTTGAAAAATCAGTCTCAGGGGCAAACTGTTTTTCTTGAGGCAGTTTGTGTTAAAAGAAGTTGAAGATCTCTTGTGTGGGAGACCCTTTCTTGGTTCTTAAGTAACAAGAACTGTCTGCAACCAAAAAAAGGAACCCTAGAAAAAGTACAACTTGGCTTAACTAGCACACTGTATTGCCTTGTCATTCTTGTGAAAGATTTGTTTGCCCTGTTGGTTCCTTTCATTCTTTCCCCTTAATGTGCTGATGTTTTCAGGATAACTTCATTTTTCTGATTTACTTATTCCATTATCATCGGCTGATTGTACTGGTGATAGCCTTTAATTATTCACTATACACCTAATGAATAATTTTGTATTCCTTGCTGAATCAGAGATAAATCTAAGCCTTTTCTTTGAGGATCATGGAACAGTTATACAGCCTTTTCCCCTATAACTTTAATAGTGAGAATTTCACAAAACATTATCCTATGAGAGATCTCCTGTTCCTTGATTTTTCAAATATTTGCTCTGTTAATCTTAGGAGCAAGTGATGTCATGAACAAATTGTTCTTAAAAACAATTCAGATATTTGAACCACTTTTAATAGCAATTCATCTCTGTTGTTTAATTTTCTTGCATTAGCATATGTTCTAAGAAAATGAGGTACCTTGCATGGTTGTGTAACAAGAGATAGCGCTGAACTATAGTATGCAGAAGAAATTGGGTGCAATATTTTAAAGCCTGATTCATGCATGGCCAAGATATATAATCTTTATAGTTGGTGGTGCACAAGAGTGAACCTTAGATCTTGCTTGCAACAGAACTTTTTAAAAATCAGATGGATCCCACCTGCGGGGCCTTCTTACATAGAGCATATTTCAGTTGTACAGTCAGTACATCTGTGAACTAGTACAAGACTGTGTAATCTATTTGTGCATGGTTTTCACATTTGGAGTGCAGTGAAGCTTTCTGAGGGAGATCTTTTAAGAGTCCTGAGCTAAATGTCGTACCAGGTTTGTTGCCTGTTCCTTGTCAGTACACGTGAAGTGAATTGGATGTTAAGGACTGCCATCCAAGCCGGACAAATAGAAAATGACAGTGATAGGGGTTTGTTTTTTTGCCTGGAGGAAAATAGAACAAATATCTGAGACAGTGATGGCAGCAATTCCTGTGCCATCAGAGCAATGAGGAATGAATGCCTGCAGAGCACGACTCACTTGTAAGAATGAAAGGCACCCGCATAAGCAGCTGAACGTGAGTAGTGGAATGAAGGGTAAATGATTGTTCTGTCATTGCCATTCATGCAGTCCCTTGCAATTTGCTTCCCTTAATAACCACAGTTTTGGTTCAGCATATAATTTCATATATTGAATTTTTCACTGGAAGGACCAGTTGTGATGAGAAACAGAGGTCTCTTGATTAGCCACTGGAAATATATGCCACGATGCAAGCAAATGCAGTGTGGCCTCCACCATGCCCTATGATGAAAAATTGTAACTGAATCCAAACAACCCTCCCCCCACAATTCAGACATGTAAGATTGTTATTGTCCTGCCTAATATCCTAGTTTCATATTTTAAATCATGCAAAATAGCCTTGCACTGTGTTACTATAAAAAGCCAACACAGATTTTCATCCCTCCCATCCCTTCAGGATCATCCATGCACATACACTGTATATGCAGTCTAGACTGATGGTTTATTTGATATGTACTTCAATTTAGCATTTAGAATCCTCAAAATTGCTTTCATAAAAGTACAGTTCAGTGATAAAACATTAGTATTCAAAAAAAGCATCCTACAACAAATTTCATAATGAGATATGATGGGTGCAGAAGGAGGAGCATGGACAAACAGATTGAAAAAGAGAATTTTAAAATACAGAAATGCAACCAAAAATGGACTACTGTAGTGGGGCAGGAATTAGTCCAGCTGATTAATAAAAACAGATAGATATATGGTGGTGTCAAAGGCTGACCTCCCTAGTTGACCTGACATAAAACTAAAGAATATGTTGTCGAAATTCTTCATTGTGTTGTTTTATCTTTTATATGCATACCCTAACGTTATACACTGCAGAATTCATACGACCTTGAGTCTTCACTGATATTCTACAGTCATGATCAGCCCATCTTAATTCCCTATATGAGCAGTTCCTTTGCTTTTCCAATAAAACATGTTGGTTTTCCATAAGCAGTGGTCCATTCAGAGGAAACCCCTACTGGAGGACAGAGGGTGATGTGATTTTTGGCAAGTACACAATCCCTCTGCACCCCCTACAAAGCAGGAATAGTGGACCATCTGGAATAGTGTCAGAGAGAATGCTGGGGTTGCAGTGGGAGGAAGAACTGACTGAAATTGCTTTTCCATCTCATCCCCTTGCTTAGTCAGGAGGCACCACTGGATCTCAGTCTACTAAGGGGCAATCTAGATCCAAGCATCTGCTTTGTAATTTTTTAATTTTTGAAGAGCATCACTGAACCTGGACCTGAAACTGCCCTTCTCACAAATAACTTTTTGAAAGGAAAGCCCCTGCTTGCTTTGATTTAGTTTCCTTCCCTTACCTCACAGTTAAGCTATACCCTTTGGAAAATGACAGTTAGTAAATTCTGCAGGACCCAAAGAAAGTTAATTGAAAAAAGTTAATCAGTTGTAACCAAAGGTTCACCAAAGTCTTATGGAGGAGTTTTGGTGAAAAAAAACCTCACTGGCTTTTGTCTTTTAAGCCTCAAAGTAAATAAGAACATAAGAACCATGCCAGATCAGACCTAAGGTCTCTCTTGGCCACTAGGCTGTCTCTCCAGTGGCCCAGTGCCCAACAGAGGCCTGTGGGAAGACCAGAAGCAGAGTCTTCTGCACCCTCCTGCACTCCACCTGTTACTCCAAGACTTGTTCTGTGGTCCTGGAGACAGCCTCATTTCCCAGGAGACGTTTTAATTTTAAAGCCGTTCTGCTTAGATAAACTAAGGTGCGGAGAACCCAAGTCAATGAGGAATCCCTGTGTTTTGCATGCAGCTCACGTGCTGTGTTGTACGCACATGGAGACAGATTTGGAAGCCTGTCCAGTGTTGGCAGTGTGGGCAGGTGTGCTAGAGCAACATATGTAAATTTAAAACCAGAGATTCCAAGCCCCCTCCTCTTCTCATAGAGCTGAACACATTGAACGTCTTTCCATTGGCAAGGTTTAAAAGTATTTGGTTAGCTTTATTTGTTTTTAATTCAGCTTTGTAGGTAAGCTGCTTCCCCAAATGGACAGTTAAGTTTCACATTTTCTAGTGCAAAATGACAAGAGATATTATATAATGGTACTTATTACACAGTCCACAGGGGAATGACTGCTTGCCTCAGTTGTGGCATTAGGCAACTGTATTTTCATATGACTGGCCAGGGACACTTAAAGATTTTTATCTGGAGGGGATGAACAACCTAAGCTGCCTTCCAGAAATGCCGTTATATACATATGGTCCTTCAGTATTTTCTTCTTTTTTATACTTGCCTCTAGGCAAATGGGCATAATACTGTCTGTGCATCTGTACTACGTGTACTTCTCAAATGCCAAAATGTTGACAAGTCAACACTGTTTAAATCCCAACATTCTAGATATCTCTATTTGCAGACTTAATAATGCATGGGGAGTTTTATTACTTCAGTAGGTGGAAAGTGAAATGTTTCTCATAAGGATAAACCTGCTGCTAATAATTAAAATCTGAGTCCCAGATCATATACTTAAAAATTCATCACATGAAGCAGACTCATTGTAGTATTCACATGGGGATGAACCAGGGCTTCCCTGCTGACACCTGATCCTCCAAAAGCCCCTTATATTTCATTTCTCTCTTTCAAGAAGGTTGTCTTATGTGTTTATGACCCAGAAGTAAAACTAGGTCCTTTTAGGAAAAGAAGCATCAGGAAACTGAAAAAGGCCCAGATCCAAAGAACTGCTATGGATTTAAACTTGTGTTTCTCAAGCAGCAGATCCACGTGGCAAGTGAGACTGTCAAAAGCAATTTGATGCATGGTGATTTGGCTGGTCCACATGATTGGACAGCCCACCATGCTTTGAATAAGCTATGGCTGGCTGTGGTGTGTGCCAGTGCACACAGGCAGAGATTTTGCATATTCCACACCCTGTTTGTGTTGTACAAACCTGGGAGACAGGGCTTGTGCCCACCATAGATGAAATATGCCACAGTTGAATGTTTTGGTCCTGTAAACTGGGTCACAGAGTCTAATATTCAAGCAGTTCTTTAGATTCCACTCAGAGGCTTCCGTACTGTCGATCTTACGCTCTTTAAGATGGAGACAGTTAAGGTTAGCATGGATGGGGTTGGCATCACTTACAGGCCGCTTTTGCAACCAGAATCCTGACTTACCATTCAGAGCAGGTAAGCTAGTGTCCCCTGTCTGATTAGTCCAACTTAGATCTGCTTGCCAACTGGAGTGGACAAACCAACCTCCCCAACAGCCTCCAGATATATTTGACTTACAGTGACCATCATGCCATTGGCTGGGATGACAGATGTTGTAATCTGATGTAACTAGGAGGTGCCAGATTGTGGAAGACTGGGCTACACCAACCAGAAACATACCATGGCAGAAAATGTTAATGTTACATCCAGTGCGGTGTAGTGCTTAGGAGGGCAGGACTGGGCCTTAAGCGATCTGGGTTCTAGGTCCCACTTAGGCATGGAGCTCATTGGGTGACAAACAAAATAAACAAACTGAGGGTCCTGCCTTCTCACTGCCTCAATCTCTGGCTTGTTAGAGGAGCAGTAAACCAAGAGTCCAGGTTCAAATGTAATCCTGACTCCTACTCTGGTATGTATGTGGTTAGTTTAGCTGTTGCCACTTGCGGAAGGAACAAATTGGCATGAACATGCCCCGTTGTCAATAGTAAGCTATTATTCTGAAGCATTTTGTGCAACTCTGATGATAGTATCTGAGTATCCCGTCTTAGGATATTTTCTGCAACTGCTTTTGCAGAAAGGGAAGCCTAAACAACTGAGTAGTACTTGCTCACAAAGAGATACATAAACCCTCTTGTTGTTCAGACTTCAAAGACCAACTGTCAATTGTAAGGAATTAGTCAGGACCCTTGTCATATGTGCTGCATTCTCAGCTGAGACATCTAAGCCGCTGTAATTTCATTTGTGGGTTTATATTGCATTTAACCAGCAGTCTGAGCAAAGACAGAAAGTGATTGTTTTATCTGCTAAACTGCCTTGCTCCATATCTTTTCTTTATTATTGGTGTTGTGTTCAGTGTGCATGTAATGTTGTCTCTTCTTATATTGCTTTAGCTCCTCTATTTGAAACGGAGTGCAGTTATGTGGAGGCTACACTTGAAGAGTTTCTGGCCTGGAGTGGGAGATGGCCTTCTCGCTCTTCTGGACCTTTCAGCAGTTACGACTTGTGTAAATACTGGACTTATGCTGACTATAAGTATATTGCTCAACTATTTGAAGACAAGCCAGAAAATTTCCAGGTACATTATTAACTTTATACTGTCCTTTATTGATCCTCTCAAAAGATGATGGGGAACATGTTTAGTAGCCAGCCTCTGCTACAGTGCAAAATGGGTGCCGCGTTGTTTTTATTTGTATTTTATTTGTCATTTTTCTTTTTTAAATTACATTCCTGTAATGTCCAGTAAGGAAGCTCCTTGGGTAGTTCACAACAATTAACACTATAAAATATAGCATCATAAAATTTAGTATAAAATAAAAATAAAAACCAGAATAAAACCTAGTGCAAAGACTTAATATATAGCAGCTGATTTTAAAACAGTTGAAACTGAAAACTAAAATGCCTGAGAAAATAAGGTCTTCACTTGATGTTCCTGTTACAACAGAAAAAGGCCCTCTTCTTAGTAGCGACCCATTTTTGTTCCTTTGTCAGGGACTCCTAGAGAAGGCCAGTGAGGATGATCTTAGGGTCTGGGTTGATATGTATGGGAAGAATATATCTTGTTTTTCGTCCAAGCAGCTTGGAAGGATACTATCTGGCTCTTGCTTTCCAGCTCTTTTTTATCCCTGTAGAATCATAGAGTTGAAGGGGATTGTGTAGACCAGGGGTCCTCAAACTTTTCCACCAGGGGGCCAGTTGAAAGGTGCCAGTGCTGGGCACAGGCCAGAAATGTGGTGCCAGCACGGGGGCAGGGGCGGGGGTGGTGCGTGTGGGTGCGCACGCTGAGGCAGGACATGCGGTGAGGCAAGGGGAGGCGAAGCGTGGGTGGGCACGCACAGCAAGGGGAGGCGAGGTGGGCGCACGAGGCAGCGGCTTGCTGACTTGGAGATCGTTTTCTCCAAGTGAGCAAGCCCCTGCCTTGCCGCACGCGGGGTGAGATGGGCACACATATGGTGGGTCCAAATGGGCGTGGCGGGCTGGTTCCAGCCCCCGGGCCATAGTTTGAGGACTCATGGTGTAGACATCTAATCCATCCTTCCACAACCTGATATACTCTAATTGTGTTGGACTGAAACTCCCATAATTCCACCCATAAAGGTGGCCTTAAAAATTTAGGTAGATAATTTCTGGAAATTATGGGATTTGTAGTCCAACACATCCGAAAGGCATCAGGTTGAGGAATTCTGTCTAATTCAGCCAGCTTTTGATTTAGGAAATTTAGAGCTAAAACACCCCCACAGCTGGCTTTTCTCTGCTTGAAGACCTCCATTGCCATACAGCTAACCCTTCCTCTAGGTAAGTGGTTCTACAGTCTAACCACTTTTACTGTCAAGTGTTCTACCAAAATCTACCATTCTTTAACTTAAGTCTATTAGATTTAATGCTGCCTGGATGGAGAAGCAAGGGACAAGCATTTGCCTTTTATTTGACAGCCCCATGTTACATCTGAAGATATGATACTCCTCTCCCTCTCCCGTATGCTAACCATGCCCAGTCCCTTCAACGTTCCCTCATGAAACTTGCTTTCTATACCACTGATCTTCCCCCTGCCCTCTGTTGAAACCATTCCCTGTTTATAGATGGATTAGGCTGAGGGAAATAAAATCATTCTGCCAAGATCACCCTGTGAATTTCATGGCTGGGTCTCCTTGGCCCTCATCCAACGCTGACCAGAGGCAGCGAGCACCGAGCACGCCATGCCATGCTGCTGTGAACTGGGAAGGCGTTGCTTCAGCCCCAGGCAGACCAGTGCCTTGCTCAGAGGATCCCTCAGAGTGAGGTGTCAGCTCACCGTTTTGGAAAGCAGCTCCAAGCACATCCTTGCTGTGGCCATCCACTTATGCCTTATTCAGAAAGAGGTAGCGGGTGGGTGGCAGCAGGTGCTTGGTGGGGCTGTAGAGGCTGCGTCTCCGCTACAGCATTTCAAGTGGGGCTCCCTGGGGCAGCTGCCCACCCTGCGCTTCTCTTGAAAGCAGTGCTGTTATCAGGACCCATCCTCTCAGTGGTAGGATACGTGGGATCTACCACCCTTCCACAATCACTGTCTGAGGAGAAAATTTACCCCACCTCATGGGAGGGACAGCCCTGATGTTGACACGTATTACAGAGCTGCTGTACAGATTGCTGAGGTAATGTGGTTAAGTATTTTGACTGCTCAGAAAAAACTATCTAAATACTTAGCATCATTGATAGCTTTTAAATAACTAAGTTTACAAGATTTATTCATATATTTGATTTGTACCCCACCTTTCTGTAAAGAAAATGGCACTGAAGGACTGGGGTGCCAATGGCTGTTTGCCTGGATGTGTTTCAGTCATCTGTACCCTGTATGAAAAATAAGGGTAAGCCAATGCTGAGAAAAACATAAACAAATACACACAGAGCCACATAAATAATTCACAGCCACCTGATGAGGCTTATCCACTCAAGCTGTCCTGTGCCTATCTTTTGGCACAAACAAATCCTAGCAAGCTAGCACAAAGCACCAGCAAACTGCGAGAACTATTATTGGTAGCAAATCAGATTTCACAGATGAGCTTCTTAGTGTTCAGAGCAAAAGCTTAATAGTTGAAATGCTCCAGAAATTATATAGCTGATGGCAATCAGCTATAGACTCATTATTTAATTCAAAGTATAGTCCAAGGCTAATAACTATAACTGTATCAGAGATCAATACAGCTTGCTTTCCCTGCTGCTATCTCTGTGGTTCAGAATGCAGAACAGGGGCCTTCAATGATCTCAGGCAAAAACTATTCCAGACAATCAACAACAAGGGACTCAAGATTGAGTCTGACCTTGAATTCTTCATTGGTAGTTCCATATTGCATGCTTAGAGGAATATTCCCACTGGGATCAAGGCATGCTTGAACTACCATCATTGGAGAACCACTTTACAGAGGGATGAGTAGACCTAAGGCCTATGCGAACAGGGCAACCACACGACAAGGAGTGCGCGAGATTGTTGTGTCTCTCCTTTGCCACCTCTGTTCTCCTCTACTCATGGAGGGCGATGGTTTGTAGAAGAGAAACTCCTCTAAGCATGGTGGCTCTCCACAAGTGCCAGACTGAAGAAAATCAGCTTTCCAGTTCACAAGCAGAAGAGGCTCTCAAACTCAGATAGTAACCCTGCATGAGTAAAGGATCTTAGTGTTGCTCTACCAACCAGGAAACTTCCATCCATTAAGAAGAATTCTTTTCGTATACATTCTCTTGCTTATCTGCTCTTTTCATTTAGATTTTATTTAGATATTTTTCTAAGGTGACTTGAAGGGTACAAGAAGGCCAGCTACCCTTTTTTATTTATAGTGATTAATAGGGCCATTTAAAAGTTGTTTGAAATTTCAATTACACTGTTTATCATTTACAGTTGTGTGACTTAAGGTAATGATTCCATTATTTTAATGTATGTGCAGTATCTCTTTTCTTCCAGGATTTTTTGTTCAATTTATATTATATTACAGAATTTTGAGACATAAATCAGCGGCAAGATATATGCATGACGTTTAAATAGAAATGAGACCTCTTAAAGTGACATATGGGTATATTAGATACATTGTAAGCAGCAAGCAAAATAAATGTAATTCAGAAGTAATGTGCCATCTGTTATGGTTGGGATACTTATAAACTGCATTTCATTCAGCTGTGGATCTTTTTTATTGTAAAAAAGCAGGTCATTGTGCCCGGATTTCAGAACTTACCTATTCCTTCTCAGTTCACTGGGTAAAAACTATGTTGCCCATAATCATGTCAGCTATTTACTGAGGCAGCAGCATTTTCAGAAAAAGACTTTTAAAATCTAATATTGATCATGTTCATTCTCTTTCTTCTTAAGTTGTGACAGAATATAGAAACTACTTAGGTGTGAGATTAAAGTAGAGATGGTTATTACCCTTAACTTTATCACCAAAATAGTTATATTGGATTTTAAATTTTATGGCTGTGGAAAGCTGGAAGAACAACTTTTCTTTTGTGATTTCTTGAAGCTCCTGACAAATGTTTGTATTAGGCTTTTGTATTTCTTTCCGTAAATCAAGTAATCTCCTAGCATTACTTCATTCACTTGGAAGCTTATCATTCACCTTGATGATTCTTCAGTATTGAAGCTCAGAAAAAAGGTGCTACCTTATAGAGTTAGGATACATTAACATTTTTCTACTTTGCAATAGTTCAGCCCCAAACCTAGACTAAACAAGCTAGGGAAAAAATTCAAGTCTGTAGTTGAGCCAGAATAAGCCTTATTCATATTTTTTTGAAGTTAGACTGCTTTCCAGACTGACCCAGAGGCCGGAAGTGTTTCCTATTGTACATCCTCACCTGTTCATGGCAGGTCAGGCTGCCTAATAAAGTTGGTGCTGTTGTAGCAAGAGGGCTTCCTGGAGAAAAAGCAACTATACCCAACCATTTTGTAAATACATATAGCATACAACATCTGAGCAAAAATGAAAAAGGTTGAATATATCTTATTTCTTATACCTTCAGTGCATTTTTACTGGAGCACAATGCTCCAGTAACTCTTTAAAGTACAATGTATGTTTAGTGCATAGTTCTCAGGTGTATTACTGGTAGAAATCCTGAGGGTTGTATATGTGATATGTAGAAGGAGAAGGAAGCATACTGCATCCTTTCCTCCGGACAGCCGACATAAACCTATGGAGCGAACTGCATGCAGATTCTTTTCTCCAAAGAGTTATTGGGAGACATGCAGTTTGACCCATAAAGATATGCCATTGATGTCCACTTGAGGGAAAGTCAACCAAAGTGGCCAAGAGGCTAGAACAACTCTCTTAAAGTTGCAACTTTGGGACTGTTGGCTTATAAAAAGATGAGTACAGGGAGGATATGATAGAAATGTACAGAATTACACATGGTGTGGAGAAAGTGAATGGGGAGACATTTTTCTTTCTCTCCCATAATACTAAAACTTGAGGTCATCCCCAGCAGCTGAATGCAGGGTGGTTCAGAACAGGGAAGAGGAAGTATTTCACATGCTCTGTAGGTAAAATATAGAATTCACTTGCATAGTATGTAGTGATGATCACCAGCTTGGATGGCTCTTATAGGGGATTAGATTATAACAAC